TACTTAGTATTTCTATAGTATTAGTACTTAACTCTATTACAGTCCATTGCAGCGTTTATACTCTGTTTAGTCTGTAATGAATGAGAGATAGATTGTGTGGAATTTCTATGTAGGTATTCAAAAACTGTATTTGACAAAAATAATAGAAGTTTACATTATATTTGAGTCATTATTAAATTCATAATATTTATCCAATATTATAAATGTAATAATAATAATAATATTCTTTATTGTAATACACCATACAAGAAAACACAAGTAAATTAAAAAACATGATAGATAGAACGTACACGATATAGGCGGCCTTATTGCTAGGCAGCAATCTCTTTCAGGCAACCCATTATAGAAGGATAAATAAATATGAAGGAGAAAAGGAGGGGTGTTATAGAAAATAATAATAATAATGTCAATGGCAGGAAAACAGATATATCTAAGGAAGGAAAGAGAGAGGATGAAGGAAATTTTTCACAACACTGTTGGAATAAGAAATAACTCCGAACTTGATCCCTGAACGAGTTCAGAGTGCGAGCCCTTCGAATAGTTTCTGACTTCGAATAGACGTACAGAATGCACAGAGAAGAAATAGGAAAAGAAATCAGTAGAATGACTTGGAATTTCAAGATTTCAAGGTTAGAAGAAGATCGCAAAGTGCGCTTTGAAGTAGAAGAGAGAAACGAGAAGTGTAATTCTTTTTATGCTGAGTAAGAACTCAATCACGTTAAAACTCGTTACGATTTCAATGAAATTTGGCACACCTATACATTGTTACCTTTTTTTGTGTCTAGGAAATGCTTTACGGAACCTTTCAATCTTTACGGAATCCAATCACGAGAAGAAGGTATGTGGGACTCCTCCCTGTTCATTTCAGCCAGCTCTGTGGCCGGGTGAAATAAACAGGGCCCTGCCTAACGCCCTGAACAGGGCCACTAAAAACCAGACAATACTCGTGCACCGTCACCCGACACGCACTATGAGGACCGCGGTTCCCCTAATGCGTGCCGAGAGAGCGGGTGTGGTCGCGGCTCCCGTTTCCGAATGGCCGCGCACCCGCCAGGTGTTTGTCCGCGAACGGACCCACCCCGATGAAGATGCCCCGGAGCATCAGAGGCATCGACATCTTGAGAGCTTGTTCAATGCGAAAATTTACTATATCGAGCTCTTCCGTTGGTCGCGGCTGCATCTGCAGTCACTAGCACCCACCAATCAGCACTGGGCCCGCGTGGAGGGTCATGGCCCAATCTCCCTATTCCATTCAGAGGGAAGGCCTGTGCCCCAGTACATTAATAGGCTAATGATGATTTCCGATGACCTCCGTGGCCGAGTGGAATAAACGCCGGATTTCATGTCGTCACCTACTCAGAGATGCCGGTCACGAGTCCCAATGGGGGCAAACGTTAGTATGATGAATACAAGCATTGGTACCTTAGTCATGGATGTTTAGTATTTCTAGTAAAATATACTTATACATGTATCAGTATCTAGCATCCAATAACACAAGCCTTATAGTGCTAACTTTGAGGCTTGGCTAATTGGTGTGAGTGTGGGGAATATTTATTTATTTCTATAAAGACGTAATAATAAATTTAAAGCGTGTTTCTGTTCACTCCTTGTAAAATGGCGAACACAATCTAAAGTCCTCTATAAATGAATAAGCACTCAGCTCATTCTTATGGCAAGGAATATAAGAAGTAATACCATGCGTCAATATATCGGTACAATCCCCTAAATTCATAGTAGTCAGTCAAGATTTGACAAACAATGACACCTCCAAGGGCTTCAAACTTCGGATAATCAATGAAGTTGTAAGCCTCCGAGTTTGACCCTGAGAAACTTGATGTAAGGGATTAATTCCTGGATCAAGCGGGTACGCCGTAACAACCATTGCCAATCACTCTTATTGCTAAAGGGAGAAAAACGCAAATTGAATGTGCTGGATGGCTATGGCATCGGCTGTGAGCCTGACCGTTCACTACGTGAGGCGTGATTGGTTCTAGCCAAGGGCCTTCCGTTACATTTGGTTAATCACTAGAAGCCAATCTAACGTGATAGTACAATCGAGTCGATAACGTATACCGATTACTCAGGTCGGTTCTTGTAAACGAATCGCTGATGCTATTGATTCGTTGGGTATTGAAGCAGCCTTTTTTCTCTGCGCTCTACTCGAATTCACAATTTTTAACTGAAAATGATTACGGTTGATGTATATTTTGTAAGAGATATTCGAAGTTTGTATCTATTTGTCGTTTTATAGAACTTCGTGTTATAATTAGATTTAATTAACACAGATTTTTAACGATGATATGATAAGAAACAGACGGGACTCGAACCCGCACCCTTCGCTTCCGGGCACTGACCATTATGCTACCGCGGCCTTGATGGCTGTGTATAATTTTCTCTAGCGTTTCTTAAGCTGCATAACATCTTAAGCAGTTAAATGCTTAAAAAAAATAAGAAACATATTTTGTTTAATTATATTTTTATTAAAGCATTTAACTAGTTGATGTTCAAATCTGAAAAGAAAATTACAGAAAAGAAACAGGCAGCAGATCTGCCCTGGGACAGCGTGGAATCTTGACAAGACTTCTGAACAAGAAACACTTAATAGAAAAATGAACCGACGCGGGTTCCCTAGTAGACGTAAAACATGCATATTAACATTAAAAAGTAATTTTATAATCTTTGAATTTACTATTTTAATAAGTATAAACCACAAATGCAAAAACAATTCAATCACTTATTGGTTTTGTGTTACGTATCACCTTAATACGTTTATGTGAGTTGAGTTCAATCAAGTCAAATTGGTTCTGAATTGCGATGAAAAGTAGTATTATAAATTGCCGAGTAAATTTTACTGCAATCATGATGAGTGAGTGGAATTATTAATTAGCCGTCAGCTGATTGAGTTTCGTAGGAAATAATTAATAAATCACTGCATTATTATAAAAAAAATATTAGAGATTTCATTTTCTTACTCCAAAGACATGAAAAGTTAGAGAAGGGTGGGGTGACAGAATAGTATTTTGATTAACAGTAATATTTTATACAGATACGGCTTTCGATAAGCTATTGTATATTTTGGAAGAAATCAGTAAATGTCGAATGATATCAAATACATTGATCTGATTGCAAAATAAGTAGTACAAACTATGAAGATACCATAAACACTAAGATAAGATATTATATGTGTATTTGATTTGACCTAATGGATGAACCATAAGCTAAAATATTGCTTGAAACAGTTACTTACATCCTATATCTATAGGATGTAAGTAACTGTTTCAAGCAAGAGGTCACTACGATGAAAAAAAAAGTTTAAACCCATAACGGCGACAGTTACATGTTAAAAGTATACTTTTTATCGGGGTCAAATAATACGCAGGTCCCCTCAAACTAAATTTATTTAAACTTATATAGTACAAAATGATTGCGCTCATAAAACACTTAGAAGTGTTTGGATTTAGTGCGACCTTAGCAAGAACAACTTTTGAGCATTATATCATACGAGTGTTCTATAACAATGTAGTTTGACCTATAACTTCAATGAAACTCTATCAAAACATATTAAAAGTAACAACTTTTAGCAACAAGGGCGGACGCTATCAGTTCATGATATTATTTTGACCTCGAATCAGCTTGTTTAAGACAGAGGTCCACCAAGAGCATACAACTTTTGTTAAATAAATGAAAATTTGACAACATTTGTGTACACATTTTGATTTGATTTGTTAAATCTATTAAGAATAAATTATTAAATATCAAAACACATTTTGTATTATTTGCTTGGATTGATTGAGTTGTATGATATTGATTTTACTAATTATTACTATGGGATTGTAAATAACTTAACACAATATATTGAATTTAAAAAGTTGGCATATCGTTATATTTATCAACCATGTCATAAAACAAACTATACATGATTCACAACTTTGTCTGGACTTTTACAAAATTTTACTAAAAGAATTTTTAAAAACATTTTGGCTTCATATATACAGGGTTACAGGGAGAGTCGTACTGAATATTGAAGGACATTATTATTCAGGTCATTTCTGATGAATTTGGTCCTATAATATGGTGTCCGAAACTTAACCGTTATGGAGATATTGGATATTAAAGTTTTTTTAAAAAAAAAATCCTATATTTTTTGGGTTATTGTCGATTTTTTTGAAATTAGAGCTCCAAAGGTCCGATTTTTTAATGTATCTAGTTAGAAGATATGTCAAGCAATAAAAATAATGAATAACAACTGAACCTACTTCTAACGGCTTAAAAAAACTACTCGACAACGGTTATAACTAAAGAATTTTCACCAAGTGTTCTTAACTTTGAAGCGCTTTTCTAAAAAAAAAATGTATGGAACTTATTCTGCAAATAATTTTAAAATCTTCTACGTCTCTTTAGCTATTCAAAAAGATATAACACTTGCTATTAAATTGGCAAAACATTGACCAAATAACAGTTATGGTAGCAGAGGGTACATTTTTAGTTTGAGGTAAAAATAGCAAAAATACGTAAATAAAACCAAAAAAGCTTAGTAAATATTTTTATAATTCATGTTCAACATGGCCGCCGCTATTTCTAACACATATTCTCAATCTTTTTCTTAAATTACTTTTTAAGTTCCGCCACATATCCTCAGCCGCATCAATAATCCTTTGTCGCAAAATATCGATATTTGCGATCGGCATCATCTGGTCGTATACAAGGCTTTCATTATTATGTGTGGGGTCATATGAAAAGCCTTGTATACGACCAGATGATGCCGATCGCAGATATCGATATTTTGCGACAAAGGATTTATTGATGCGGCTGAGGATATGAGGCGGAACTTAAAAACTTCTGTAGTAAAAAGTAATTTCAGAAAAAGATTGAGAATATATTGTGTTAGAAATAGCGGCGGCCATGTTCAAAATGAATTATAATTTTGAGCAGCTCGATGGCCCAAGTGGTTAGCGCGTTCGGCTGCGATCGTTGAACTTAAGCAACTTTCGCAGTGGTCGGTCATTGGATGGGTGACCAAAAATTACTATCTCGGGCTTCTCCGTGCTTCGGAAGGCACGTTAAGCCGTTGGTCCCGGCCGCATCTGCAGTCGTTAGCACCCACCAATCCGCTCTGGGCCCGCGTGGTGGGTCATGGCCCAATCTCCCTATTCAATCAATAGGGAAGGCCTGTGCCTCAGCAGTAAGCACATTAATAGGCTGGTGATGATGATGATGATGCTTTTCTGGTTTTATTTACGTATTTTTGCTATTTTTACCTCAAACTAAAAATGTACCCTCTGCTACCATAACTGTTATTTGGTCAATATTTTGCCAATTTAATAGCAAGTGTTATATCTTTTTGAATAGCTAAAGAGACGTAGAAGTTTTTAAAATTATTTGCAGAATAAGTTCCATACATTTTTTTTTAGAAAAGCGCTTCAAATTTAAGGACACTTGGTGAAAATTCTTTAGTTATAACCGTTGTCGAGCAGTTTTTTTTAAGCCGTTAGAAGTAGGTTCAGTTTTTATTCATTATTTTTATTGCTTGACCCCTAACCCTGTATATATATATATATTGTACTCAGTGTGTCTCCGTGCTAAGGGACTGCTACTATGGCAAGTCACGCGGGCCAATTTGATGAAACGCCCGCCGCTTGTGGGTACGAGGAAATAGGTTCGGGCAAGAGTGGACGATGGGGTCATTATTTGAGACTGGGCTTTGGGTAGCTGACGAACTATGGGCGTAGACTGTGACATATACGATATATACATACGTTTATGTTTGACAAACAGAATGGATATCGGAAATCGAACTAAAAGAGTAAGGCGACTCGCGCACTAGACGGCCACGACCACGCCTTAAGCCCTTATGACCGTAACGCACTTGGCCGCAGCGGCTAACTGGCCACACACCGGGCTAGCACGACTGGTCGTTGCAGCCAACTTACGTATAGTTTGCTATGAGTGCTCAAGCACTAGATCTGCAACCGCAAATGTGGCCAGGCTTCGGCCAGGCTGTGACCAACCATTCTAACTTTACGGTTCGTATCGTTCCGCAACTCAACGCGACGACGTTTTTTCCTACAATGAGTTTTGATTCAGATTTAATATTAATTATTGAATTAAATAAACAACGGGAAATATGGCCGCTTTACGACCATTAGTGGTTGTGGCTGCAATCTTGGCCGCAGCTCAACCGTAACTTCTGCAACCAAGATTGGTCGTGACTGACAAGTACGTAAGGAGTATTAGGATATTCTCTTAATAGGTTTGCTCTCACGAATTATTTTCTATCTATATGGGATAGGTAGTCTAGGTAGGCTTTTATGTATTCAAATGTGATCTGAAACCAGACATGTGCTTGGATAAAGATTTTGTAATAAAGTTATTCCCAAGAACTATTTATTTCGTTGAGGGTCAACAAAGCTTTCGATACAATTGATACAAAGTGAACATTACCCCAGATTATGTACATACAAAGAACAATATACCCGAGGTTGTGTGCGTTAATATGTTTAAGTTGCTACTTACTCGAATATCGCAGCGTGCAAGACTTTCATTGCTGAAAATGTTTCCTAGACCCTAAGTTTCACACACTCACTAATAGCCTATTAACTGCTGGCACACAGGCCTTTTCTATGGATAGAATGGGGCAGTACGTAGGCCCAATGCGGATTGATGGGTGCTAACGATTGCAGATGCAGCCTAGGCCAACGGCTCAACGTGCTTTCTGATGCACGGAGGAGCTCGAGATAGGATAGTTAATTTGGGGTCACCAATCCAATGACCGACCACTGCGAAATTTGTTTAACTTCAACGATTGTAGCCCAACGCGCTAACCACTTGCGTTATAGAGCTACTCACCCCCAACAACCCTAAAAAGAAATACAAATCGAAATCTATGTAAATTTTGGAGCTACCTAGGGGTATGATGACCTTGTTTGAGGCAACCGGTTGATACAACCGTAGCTTTCCTGTCTGCTGCTCCGAAGATTCTAGGTTAGAATCCGGATGAAAGCAGTTTCATTGATGTATGGATTGTGTGATGTATCTTTAGTTTTTTTAATGAAAACAAATATTGTGTTCCCATGAGATGCTTGTTCATAGCTCATATAATATATTTGTTTTATACATTACCAAATTTCCATAGGTCCATTTCTGTTCATTTAATAAATACATATTTGTTTTGTTTCAATTTATTGAAAATTTAGAAAATTTATTTCAATGCAACATGATTTGATAATTAGTCAAAGGCCGTCCCAGTGATGTCTGATAACCTTCGCTTCATTAGTGCTTGACCGATCATGTCATGCGCTTTCAGGCTTGAAGCGCCAATTCCATGTCATGCGTTGATTCAAGCCTCAGCACGTCAATGCTAATGACCATTCACTGAGAATTCCGTGTGCCTTATTTACAATTCAAACTCCTAGTTTAGTTACTTACATAATCATAACGACTAATTCGTTAATCCAGGTAAAGGTTAAGACCTCCCCTCTTAACCGCGCAATGTTTTTTTCCATACATACGTTCTTGATTGATTTCTCCTTAATTTTTATCGCTAAAGAATTGATTTTCATACATAAATTATAATTTTACACATTCTAAGCTCCTATGTTCTCCTTATTTTGATAATTTGTGTTTCAAAGAAACTAGAAGCCCTCGAAAAAGGTCATAAATAAAGTTTTTTTTTTTATCACAACTAAATTATAATGTGAAGATTTAATAAGCATTTACAAACAAATCAAAACATAGAGGCATAGTAAAATTCCTTATTTTTCTTAGTGTAAAATTTCTTTTACATATATCTTATTTTCGACGAGGAAATCGTCGAGAGCCAAACCTAGAATTTTGCAATTTTGACACGCAATTTTTTTTAGCAATTTTTTCAGCGTTAATTACTGTTATCCCTATCACACTATATTTACCAATGCAAGACAGCAGTAGTTTTTTCAAATACCTATTTTTCAAAAGTGTCTCAGCTCGCCACCGCTGTTAATCAATAATTGCGATAGATTTGATGAGATTTGACTAGGTGTCGATTCTGCTAATGTAAGGTAAAAATCGTGCCTCAATCGTAGGTCAATAGTGTCGTTATTTGACACAGCTTATGTTCATTTTCTGTCTGATGGGGCACAGGCCTTCTGTAGTATCATACCTTATAATAGGGAGATTGGGCCATGACCCACCATGCAGGTCTGCTGAGTTGCTTAGCTTCAACGATTACAGCCGAAAGCGCTAACCACTTGCGCTACCAAACTTCTCAATCAGTTTCTGTTACTTAATCATAAAATAACATATATATGTAGATAACTAAAACAAATGCGTAAGCAAATAGGTTTGTTATTTTGTGTTTTAGTGACACTGTATTAAAAATCAACACTACTTGATGTTTGCATAGAGTTGGCCTAACTGCAAATATTTTTATGTGCTATTTATTAATTAGCAAGCACAAAAACCGCGCTATGCGTAAATGCTAACCAAAAAGTTTGGTTACAGATTGCGGGTGTTTTTTAAATATTTAGTAAATCCGCTGAATTGCACTTTAGTGATTGTTTTGTGCATAAATATAAGGTAATATTATAATATTTGTATTAGCAAATAAACAGGGAATCAGAGTATTATGATTATCCCAATCCCCAGTTCAGCAACCCCCAGTAAATAAGTACCTAATCCGTACGAAAAGAACTTACTCTTGCAAGTTAGATAGTATAATAGCTATAATGCATCAGAAAGTTATATTGCAAATAAGAAAGTAGTTCGGTTACAATTTTATAACGAACAAGATGTATCGAAATTACCAAAACCGTAGTTATTTATAACAAAACAGTTTTGTAATATCATATCAGCTGCGAGCGCCATAGCGCACGGAACGTCTGTTAAGCTAGCATGGCAAAGTGAGCAGAATCGTTTAAAATAAAGTGCATCAATTAGTGCTTATTTAGTGCTAATTTAGTGCCAAAACCGGAAATTTAATGCTTTCATAGTTTAGCGAAAAATTAGAACACTGCCAGCTTTTAATTAAGCTAGCAGTGTATTCCCTGAAACGCCTATATTAACGCGGTATAGAACTAAAGCAATGCATAGGGAATTTAGTGCTTATTGAGTGCTGGCAGTATCTGATGAAAATTTTGGAAAATAAAAAATATTTTATTTTTTATCAATAAAAACTGCTAGTATGACAGTCTGAGCAAGTGACTGGGTTGAATACATCACTCTGGATCGAAGATCTATGATAATCAACGGTTCATAATTTAGTGCTCAATGAGTGCTGCCAGTATGTGATAAAAAATTAGGAAATTTAATTTTTTTAAATTTTTTATCAATATAAACTGCTAGTATGACAGTCTGAGCAAGTGACCGGGTTGAATACATCACTCTGGATCGAAGATTTATGATAGTCAACGGTTAATAATTTAGTGCTCAATGAGTGCTGCCAGTATGTGATAAAAAATAACGAAATTTTAATTTTTTAAATGTTTTATCAATATAAACTGCTAGTATGACAGTCTGAGCAAGTGACAGGGTTGAATACATCACTCTGGATCGAAGATCTATGATAATCAACGGTTAATAATTTAGTGCTCAATGAGTGCTGCCAGTATGTGATAAAAAATAACGAAATTTTAATTTTTTAAATTTTTTATCAATATAAGCTGCTAGTATGACAGTCTGAGCAAGTGACAGGGTTGAATACAACACTCTGGATCGAAGATCTATGATAATCAACGGTTAAGAATTTAGTGCTCAATGAGTGCTGCCAGTATGTGATAAAAAATAACGAAATTTTATTTTTTTAAATTTATTATCAATATAAACTGCTAGTATGAGAGTCTGAGCAAGTGACAGGGTTGAATACATCACTCTGGATCGAAGATTTATGATAGTCAACGGTTAATAATTTAGTGCTCAATGAGTGCTGCCAGTATGTGATAAAAAATTAGGATTTTTTTTTTAATTTTTTATCAATATAAACTGCTAGTATGACAGTCTGAGCAAGTGACTGGGTTGAATACATCGCTCTGAATCGAAGATTTATGATAGTCAACGGTTAATAATTTAGTGCTCAATGAGTGCTGCCAGTATGTGATAAAAAATTAGGATTTTTTTTTAAATTTTTTATCAATATAAACTGCTAGTATGACAGTCTGAGCAAGTGACTGGGTTGAATACATCGCTCTGAATCGAAGATTTATGATAGTCAACGGTTAATAATTTAGTGCTCATTGAGTGCTGCCAGTATGTGACAAAACATTTGGATTTTTTTATTTTTTTATCAAATTAAACTGCTTGTATGACAGTCTGAGCAAGTAACCGGGTTGAATACATCACTACGGATCGAATATGTATGATAATCAATGGTTAATAATTCAATGGTTAATGAGTGCTGGCAGTATGTGATAAAAAAAATTAGAAAAAAAACAAAATATTTTATTTTTTAGCAAATTAAACTGCTAGTATGGCAGTCTGAGCAAGTCACCGGGTTGAATACATCACTCTGGATCGAAGATCTATGATAATCAACGGTTAATAATTTAGTGCTCAATGAGTGCTAACAGTATGTGATAAAAAATTACGATATTTTATTTTTTTAAATTTCTTATCAATATAAACTGCTAGTATGACAGTCTGAGCAAGTGACCGGGTTGAATACATCACTCTGGATCGAAGATTTATGATAGTCAACGGTTAATAATTTTGTGCTCAATGAGTGCTGCCAGTATGTGATATAACATTTGGATTTTTTTATTTTTTATTAATAAAAACTGCTAGTTTGACAGTCTGAGCAAGTGATCGGGTTGAATACATCACTCTTGATCGAAGATTTATGATAGTCAACGGTTAATAATTTAGTTCTCAATGAGCGCTGCCAGTATGTGATAAAAAATAACGAAATTTAAATTTTTTAAATTTTTTATCAATATAAACTGCTAGTATGACCGTCTGAGCAAGTGACAGGGTTGAATACATCACTCTATACAGAGCACCCATTGAGCACTAAATTATTAACCGTTGATTATCATAGATCTTCGATCCAGAGTGATGTATTCAACCCTGTCACTTGCTCAGACTGTCATACTAGCAGTTTATATTGATAAAACATTTAAAAAAAAATTCCTAATTTTTTATCAAATACTGCCAGCACTCATTGAGCATTAAATTATTAACCGTTGATTGTCATACATATTCGATCCGGAGTGATGTATTCAACCCTGTCACTTGCTCAGACTGTCATACTAGCAGTTTATATTGATAAAAAATTTAAAAAATTAAAATTACGTTATTTTTTATCACATACTGGCAGCACTCATTGAGCACTAAATTATTAACCGTTGATTATCATAGATCTTCGATCCAGAGTGATGTATTCAACCCGGTGACTTGCTCAGACTGCCATACTAGCAGTTTCATTTGCTAAAAAATAAAATATTTTGTTTTTTTCTAATTTTTTTATCACATACTGCCAGCACTCATTGAGCATTAAATTATTAACCGTTGATTATCATACATATTCGATCCGGAGTGATGTCTTCAACCCGGTTACTTGCTCAGACTGTCATACTAGCAGTTTATATTGATAAAAAAATTTAAAAAAAAATCCTATTTTTTTATCACATACTGGCAGCACTCATTGAGCACTAAATTATTAACCGTTGATTATCATAGATCTTCGATCCAGAGTGATGTATTCAACCCAGTCACTTGCTCAGACTGTCATATTAGCAGTTTATATTGATAAAAAATTAAAAAAAAAATCCTAATTTTTTATCACATACTGGCAGCACTCATTGAGCACTAAATTATTAACCGTTGATTATCATAGATCTTCGATCCAGAGTGACGTATTCAACCCTGTCACTTGCTCAGACTGTCAAACTAGCAGTTTTTATTGATAAAAAATAAAATATTTTTTATTTTCCAAAATTTTCATCAGATACTGCCAGCACTAATTAAGCACTAAATTCCCTATGCATTGCTTTAGTTCTATACCGCGTTAATATAGGCGTTTCAGGGAATACACTGCTAGCTTAATTAAAAGCTGGCAGTGTTCTAATTTTTCGCTAAACTATGAAAGCATTAAATTTCCGGTTTTGGCACTAAATTAGCACTAAATAAGCACTAATTGATGCACTTTATTTTAAACGATTCTGCTCACTTTGCCATGCTAGCTTAACAGACGTGCGCACGGACGTATTTTTGCTCGCTAAATTGTTATTAAATTTTCATTGACCCGCACATAAAAAAAAAACTCCAAATAAACATCGTCTGTTGTAGTATATATAGTATTTCTCATAGTATGCATAAGTAGAAGAAATAAAATGTGTACGAAAGTTCAGCGGTCACCCACTAAGCCACGCTCAGTTCAGACCCTTATTGGTTCACTTACGGATCTGACCGGCTGCGAATCCGCAGCACCAGACGTCATGATGAAGCTTAAAAGGAAAGAACCTGATTCCAACCACGTTCAGAAGGGAGAATTCGAAGAGCTCAAGAAGGAAATTACGACCTTCGGAAATCCAACGATGAACTTCTGCATAATGTAAGATCAGAAATCATCATCATCATCAGCCTATTAATGTCCCCACTGCTAGGGCACAGGCCTTCCCTATGATGGATGGAATAGGGAGATTGGGCCATGACCCACCACGCGGGCCCAGTGCGGTTTAGCGGGTGCTACCGACTGCAGATGTAGTCGGGACCAACGGTTAAACGTGCCTTCCGAAGCACAAAGGAACTCGAGATAGAAGATTTTTGGTCACCCATCCAATGACCGACCACTGCGAAAGTTGCTTAAATTCAACGATCACAGCCGAACGCGCTAACCACTTGCGCCATCGAGCTCCTCTGATCAGAAATCTCGGAGATTAAGTCACAGGAAACTTCGGTAACATTATTGACAATTTATCACAACAGCATAGCGAATTCAAGAACTAGCGGAGTTGACCAAGTCCATGGATTTTCATACAAAGTCATTTGATGATATACGAGTCGTCGAAGGTTCTATCCAGGCACGTTGTGTATCGACATTGAAGTATGCAGACTTCGTTTGTCACAGATAGAACGAGACCTTAATATCCAGCAACAAAGAGAGCGTTTGCATAACCTAGAAATAGTGGGATTCATGGAGAATAATAATGAGAACCTTACTGAGTGATTTTTATCCATGTGCAAAGCTTTGGATGTTCCAGTTGTTAAGGAAGATATTTTAAATATTCACCGTGTACCTTTGAAAATTTTCGACAAAAAGTATCCCAAAAATATTATCATAAAAATGAGGAATCAAATAACGAAAGATTTTATCATATCGGCAGTCCAAAGAACGAAAGTTCTTACATCTAATGACCTTGGTTTAACTACCTCCGACCCTTGACGTATCTATATCAACGAACATTTAGCAAGATGCTGCATAAGAAGACTCGGGAAGTCGCTGCTGGGGCTAATTATCAGCATGTCTGGGTACGAAATGGAAAAATCTTCATTCGAAAAAACGACAATACGCCTGCACTCAATATAAGGTAACTAAAGGACGTGGAGAAGTTGAAATGATTGGTTTGACTGTATTTATCATGATATTTAAAGTTATTGGTCTCAGGGGAAGTTTTCAATATCTTTTTATTGTATGCGTGTATTATTTGTGTAATTGTGTTTACGTTTCATATTCTCAGCGACATCACGGTAATATAATTACCGTGGCGACATGCAGATTATGATAATTATACGTATTTAAGTTTGTCTACGAATATTGCACAATGCTATTTGACTGACCATTTAAATACTTCTCATAAGGGAAAACAATTGCCTTGTGTGCTGTTCTGTTTTGGATTGTCTATTCAGGTAAATAATAAATTATTTGCAAGTCTCACTTTATTTTGACAGCTATTTACTGTACAAATGTCTAGGTTATCTTATGGCGGAAGGTTCTTATTTAATCTTTATTTTTACATATTATATGATAAAAAATAATATTGTTAACAGCATAATAATAATTTTACACATAAACTTTATCTTACTGTCATGGAACCATTAAAAAAATTATGTATTAACCAATAAACTAATATATATAGGCATTTTTTACAATATACTTTATTATTTACATTTAAACTATTTACTGACCCTGATTAATTACTTAACAAATGTAAATTTTTTCATCAAAGAATTTTGTTTTTGTTTGTTGTTACAGATTGAAATGTTACTACTTTGCAATGGATCATGTTATCTGGGGTGCAACTATATAGTGATACCGTATTGAAACCCTGGTGTTCTTAATGTACAACTCTACTGGAGTAAACTTTTAAGACTTAGTTTACTAAAACAAAAAACAAGTTTAAATACAAATAAATTACTTTTTAAATGTACCAACTGGTTTAAGCTCATAATAATCACAGTGCATCTATTAATTATTACGCAGAGCAAGTTACTGTTCATTTATCTAAAATACCTTGTAATGAGAAGAGGCTTATATTATTGTATAATTCTGTATGGATTCATTATAACTTACAGCATGTTATCTTATCTACTCCTAAACTTTTATTTATGGATTAGCCCAGCAAATATTATAGTATTGAATAATGAAGGAATGACATCTGTTGCTATTGGTTATCTTATCTATTCTCAAACTGTACGGCACGTCGGGCTGTAGTAGTAGCTGGCAGTTACCGACTCGTACTTGGGGGTGAAGGAAAATACAGGCAGGAATCTTGACGGCGATAGTGGACTCTAGCTTCGGTGAAATAAAACTTCCAGTGTTCGGTATTGAAGAAATCGGTGGGCGTTAGTAATGGATGGCCGGTGAGAGGAGTCTTCAGGTCCAGAGCGAACCGCTTGTTTCTTCCTGTTCCTTTAGGTTGGAGCACCTGTTGCTGAATGGCATGTTGGAGCCTGTTCCGACTTGATTTTTATACGCGCGGACTGAGCTGACCAGCGATCCATTACCTCAGCCCCGCTATACTTTATTTCTCATTTATTCACAAAATACATTGGTGCGAGCTTAAAACTATAGGTACATACATTAGGCATACAAATAGCGCAGTTGCGAGTCCGAAAGCATCATATTTTAACTGTGGCGCGCAAAAATAGGTCTCCGCGATATTTATACTCGCGCCTTCCATAGGGCTTCGCCCGCCACAGGCCTTCGCTGCCCCACCCACGCGCTCCGCGCGCGTTTCGTGGGGAGCGTGCTAAGAACTTTCTATACAAACTATTTTTATCTTATTTTCGGTACATTTCTATATTTATCGATTTGATACCTATTTATTTAAGTAGTCCTATGTGTTATCTATCGAATACAATAATTTTCTAATAAGAATAACCATAAAGAATGGCTTTATAGCCCTATAAAGTTCAGAAATTAAAAGGTCTCTAAAAACCTACTCAGACTCATTTAATACCTAACTATTATACTTTATTTTATAGGGCAAGTGAAAACACACAAAATAAACTATTTATTGTCAAACTTATACCTATAACTAACTTACTATCGAACAAAAAATATATTTAACTTTCGCCTTAATTATACCTAATCTTCTATCATAATCTATATAAAACTTTGCTATTTCTAATCATATGACTATTATCTAATGAAACATAAAGAATAACAATCCAAACATAATATATTAATATTTTTGAGTGCTTTTTTTTTTGAGTGTGTATGCTGTTGGTCGCAGATGACCTTTACAGCGTCACCGGGTTTGAGTGTGTATGCTGTTGGTCGCAGATGACCTTTACAGCGTCACCGGGTTTGGGGACGGCGAGATCCTAAGGGGACCTCAAGCCGAGAATTGACGAGTGCTTCTGGAGGTATTCCAGTCGGATGGCGTCTCCCCACGGGGGGAGTCTCCACTCCGTCTGGAGCCTCCAGACCACTCGAACCTGAGGGGGTCGGCTCAACTAGAGGGCGTCTCTGAGACTCGGACCTCGGCTCTAGTTAGCCGTTGTCGTGGGGGGCGGGGAAAAACGCCACAGGTACGTACCTGTACCTGGTATAGCGTGTCGTGTGTAGATCGGGTCTTCGCACTCTTATCCTACGGGTGCGGTGTCTGCCTAATGTTAAGCTAGTGTGCACGTTTGCTAGCTGTGTAGTGTTGGTGTTTGTGGCCTGTGTGGGAGGAGTCGGAGGCGCGTTGGCGCGTGTGATTTCGTCGTTTAAACAGTCTAAGACGTGCCTAGGCCGACGGAATCGGAGGGACCTACGATTGGAGGACGGGAGGGCGGACGTATGATAACTACTCGCTTTTACTGCTAAGGGGTTCGGGTGATGCGCGGCTTTATCGAAGTAATGCCTCGAGGCGTCCTACATATACTTCGCGATGGAGTCTAATTTGAGGTCGCGATGCAAATCGATGTTGCGCACGTACCACGGGCAACCCGTGGAACCGCGCAACACACGATTTTGCAGCGTTTGGAGTGGTTTAAGACGCGACGGAGGTACGTTGGCGAAGCAAACACTCGCGTAGGTCATGATAGGGCGGATGCAAGTTTTGTAAATTGTCAACTTATGCCTTCCCTATAAGGTGGAATAGCCTGCCGCGAATGAATGCTGCGCGATCGCGAATTATCTTGAGATGAGGTGCAAACGTTAATCGGTTGTCTAACGTAACACCCAAGTACTTGACCCGGTCCTCCCAGGGGATGACCCGGTCAAACAGTTGGATGCTCGGAAGAGATCGCGTGGGAGGTGGTGTCGTGCTAAAGAGGATCGCGACGCTTTATTCCGGATTAACCTCGATACGCCATCTACGGAACCAATCGCCAAGGGTGGTAGCGGCTGATTGAAGTCTATTACAGACTGTTCCGAGACGTCTATCGGAGGTATTTTGAGTGCTTACAATTCGAACAAAATCTTATGAGACTGCTAGAAAGAGACAGCCTATCGTCCCGACCTTTCCTATCGTTCCGAACTATCAAATTCCAAACAGTTTCTCAGCGCCACCGCTTGGCGTCGTGGCGATCGATTAGGTAAATTCTTATAAGAACATCGGTTAGAAAAAGACAGAGTAACGTTTTGAACTATCAATTTTACAATTAGTTTCGATAGGTAAATTCCTCTATTATTACAATCCATGGCTCATTCTAACAAAATGACAATGAAATAGCATGTTTAATGACTGTAAGTATCCGTTACATGTGAAATTGCACTTACAGACACATATTTCATTAGTTCACAATTCAGTCTGTTTCGATGTCACACTGCACACGTAATCTTTATTCTTCTTGCTTCGGTCGTCGCGTACACAAACAATAAGTTTTTTTTTTTAATTATAATTTAATATTAAATCAAAGAATGACATAAAACTGCTCTATTCTGTTTTTATTGTGATTAGGAATGAATGATTTTTTTTGTTAATGTAATAATATGTATTTTACGGCAGTTGCACTATACAGTATAATCATGCAAAAAAAAAGAATTATCAATGTACCAATGACAAAATAACCCTTATTGTTAAAACTTTGTTACAAAAGAACAATAAAGTCAAGTTAAAGTATCAAATTTTGATTATCTCATTTTTTTACTAATATTACTGATATGGCTACTAACAAGCATAATAGAGCAAACCTACACATTTACTACCAGAATGTTCGTGGTTTACGTTCAAAAACTTTGCAGTTGTTTAACAACTAACTAATGACTATGACATCTTATTATTCGATGAGACATGGCTCCAGGACGACGTTATCAATTCGGAATTGTGTGACGACAGGTACGATGTGTTTCGTCAAAATCGCAACTTGCAGGTCCGGCGCACAGTGGGACAAGCTAGTACAAGGGCGTAGATTAAATGGTATTTACGAATATCATAATTTGACTAATATGGCGACTTTATAACATTCTATAATAAAAAATATATAGTAATAAGTAGTTTTTTTTAATTTAATTTGCGATATTATATTTTTTTTTCGTAGGTTAAAGTGCATAGAAGACAAGTATGTCAAATTCAATACTTTGCGTGTACATATTTCAAAACCCTATTGTGAAAGAAATATTTGGTAAAGATATGTAGTAATATATATTTTTAGAAAGATTATATTATGCTTATTACTACACAGCTACTTGATTTTCAAAAAAAGCTCACATATCTCAGTAACTGTTTAAAAAGTGGCATAAGTTATTTTTCACGAATTTTTTTTTTCGTCGGAGGTTTTAACTGTTACCCACGTCTCTACATTTACATTTTATGTTTATTAATAGTCTAACTATTCATAAATATGACTCAAAAAGAATCAGCTGCGGGAATTTGCGGTTTTAGAAAATATGAGTAAAAATGTGACAAAAGGCGTAACTGAAAATATTAGTATTTTTGCGGTTTACCACAAACGACGTTCACATGCATAATATGAAATATTTTTGATATAATTTTTCATTATTTTGTGATAACAAAGGGAGTTTATCGAATTTGCACTCGTTTTGCGTGAGAAATTGATATTCTAAAATGGGTATATAAAGTGATAAAATAAGTTATTCCCGTCATACACATCAGTGTAACTTCAAGTAGGAAAGGATGTTTGTACTTGTTATTTCCACAAATAGAGTTGAAATGTCTTAGTTCAACTGTACCAAACGCGATTTCATGATGAAAAATTCAATATTTCTTAAGAGAACTTGTGCTTCGTAATTAGTAACATGCAAAGGCATATTCTTCCTACATTTAACAAGCGCTGGGTCCTGGCATTTTGAAAAAAGGAAACATTTTTAGAGAAGAATAGTACTTGGTTGGACTCAGGGTATTCGTTAAATTTACCGGACTCTGAAGAATATACTACGCCATCAACATCTGGTCAGCGAGGATGAGCATGTGTTGCTTATGGAGAACGTCGACAAACCTCGGCAAGTTAGTGGAAACACGAATGATGGTAATACCGCACGAAGATTTTTTTATAATAGTACTTGCTCAGCGGAAATAACAGGTGCCGACGAAACTTTGTTTAAACGTCTGTACATTATTTTGCAAGTTCTTTCTTCTGGAATGATGATCGATCACGAAAAATTTGGGGAATATTCACTGGAAACCGCAAGACTCTATTGCAGCAATTATGATTGGCATTATATGCCGTCCTCCGTTCATAAAATACTTATACATGGAGGAAATGTTATCAAAAATTTTGCAGTACTTCCTATTGGACAGCTATCGGAGGACTCGCAGGAATCTCGCAACAAAGATTACAGAAACATGAGACTACATCATGCCAGGAAATGTTCTCGATCTGCTACAAATTAAGATGTGTTAAGCCTATTAAGGCTTATGTACACGTCAGATCAGTATATAGCAAGTTTAAGAAAACATTACTGAAAGGTATCCCCCGGATAAAATCATTATTTTAGGCGATTTTAACTTACCTTGCATAAGTTGGAATAATAATAACGATTATTTAACTACTGGTACAAGTTCTAGGATTCTTAAAGACTACAAATTCGTTTGTTGATCATTTATATTTTCTTGATTTTTTGCAGTATAACTTGGTCGTTAATAAGACGGGGAGAAGTTGGGGGTTAATAAGTTCTGGACTTATGCTTTAGTTATACCCGCTGTAAAATTTTGCAGTGTCAAAAGCCAATTATCACTGAGGATGGTTACCATCCTGCCCTTGATATATGGAAAGTGGATCTATAAGTAAACATCAAAACTTGTCAGTTCAACTTTTATAAGTGTGACTATGGTAGACTAAATGAATACTTTAGTAAAATTAATTGGGATGAGTTGTTACAATGTAGCTCAGTTAACGACGCTGTCAACTTATTCTATGAGAAATTAAAAACTTCTTTCTCTTTGTTCGTTCCTCTGTCAAATAGCCCTAAGGGGTCATATCCATCTTGGTACAGTCCTGCCTTAATAAAAATCAACAAATAAAAAATATTAGTACATAGACGCTGGGAAAGATATGGTAACCCCAGGGATTATGACGAGTTCAAGATACTTAGAGAATGACAGCATAGACTACAGAAAACTTGTTTAAAGAATTTTATTGATTCATCCGAAAAACTCTTGAAAAAGTCCCCCAAATATTTTGTGCAGTATATCAAAAGTAAAAGGAATACCAGTAGTTACCCTAAAACTTTTTCACACAATAATTACAGTTATTCAAGAGGTGAGGATATATGCAGGGCCTTCAGTGAGTTCTTTGAGAGCGTTTTTGTGAGTTCCAATGAATCACGTTCTTCACTGTCGGAGGGAATTCCTTGTAGCGAGGAGCATCTTTCTCGGATCCATATAGACGAAGACCGAGTACCAAGGCTTCTGCAGGACTGTATCTACGTCGCTGCGCACGGATCTGTCTTATCGTAAGTGCTCCGAAGTAAAGCTGCGCCTTTACTGCTCCGCAAGCACTGCCTGGCGCCTCCGCGCCAGCGTGGATCACCACATCACCCAGCCGCAGGCCTCAACGCACCGCAAGGCGTGGCTCGGTCAAGATCGCGCAGACGTAGCCCCCCATCGCGCCGCAATGCCCATGACGCCAAGGCCCTGTTCGCGGCCAAAATGAGCCCCACGGCATCGCCAAGAGTCCAATATGAATTGGACGTGGTGATGGCCTGGCGGCTCATCGACTCCGGCCTCATCACGAACGGGCTGAAGATGTGGCTTTATGCATACGTCCGCCTGTCAGAGCAGGACCCAAGCTCCAGCACAGATTACGGCCCCGACGACGAACAAATCATCGAGGCAAGTAACTACTCCAATCCGATGCCACTCACGCTACCACCTGCAAAGTCATTCTACCTGACGCCCATCGAGACACAACCGGAGGAGAGACGCCCCCGCGCGGCATACACGCGCGCCTCGCGCCTCCACCGATCACGCAGCGTAGGAGATTCCCCCGCACCCAGACAGGCCCCCTTAACCACTAAGGTAACCGCCCCAGCACCGCAGCAGGAAAACCAACCCCCACAAGAAAACGTCCCCGCCGCCCTAGAAGAGCAAGTGCAAGAAACTGAGGTACCGACGCAGACGTATGCGCAGATAGCAGAAAGTTTCGCGCCTACCCACATTGACGAAGAAAAAACCCCCACCACCGCTACGTCACCCACCGCTGTGTCGACCGCGCAACCGGCCTCCTGCAGCGCTCCCACGTCCTAACGGGTCCGAAAGCACCCGCCGATTGTGGTCGAGCAGCTGCGGGACTGGCCGAATCACTTGCGCGCCATCCACCAACAGCTCGGCCGACCACCCAGCGTGCGCCCGTTTGGAACGGGCATACGCTTTTCACGATTGACGACGACGAGGGCCGGCTCGTCCTGGCCTACCTCTCCGGACTGGAGGGACAGGCCAGACTGAGCTGGTACTCGCACGCCCGCCCAGAAGAACGCAGCCTCAAGGTGGCAATCCGTGGACTGCCCCTTGACACCACGCCGCAGGACATCACAGAGGCCCTTGCTGAAAAGGGCTTCACGATAGAATACGCCAAGCAGATCCGGGCGCGAGCAGGCCGCCCCGGAAGTCTATACTACGCTGCAATCCGCCGAACTCCTGACGTCATCCCGGCCATCTACTCGGTGAGTAGCCTCCTGAGTATGTCCGGGATCAACATCGAAGCCTGGAGAGGGAGAAAGAAGGCCCCAGCGCAGTGCCACCGCTGCCAGGGGTTCCGCCACTCCAGCCTCGGCTGTCACCGCGCGCTTGTTTACGTGCGCTGCGGTGACCCACACGCTACCGCCGACTGCCCCCCCCCCGCTTGCGCAACCCGCGACATGCGTGAACTGCGCTGGCGCACATCCCGCGAACCACAGCGCGTGCCCTGCGCTCCAGCGCGAGGCGCGCAACCGACGCGCCACAACAGTGGCCCGCACTGGCCGCCCCAAAACTGAAGCGATACAGCAGCCTATTGAGGTGAGTGAGCACGCGCCGGCCACACTGATGGCCCCCGCGAACGCTCCTCCCTCGCACACCAGCCGCCCAAAACGCCGCCGCAAAAGGACCCATCGTGCGAGTAACACACCGCCGACGGACGTCTCCCAAGATGCCTTGCCCACTGATGACACCACCACAGCCCAAGACTCGCCACTGCCCGCCCAAGAGACGACTGACTACCTGACTGTTGCTGCACATTTCGGACTTGCTCGCGGACTTTGTCAAAAAGTTCGGGCAGTCCGACAAAACGTTTTCTGCACCCACCCCCGGATATGACACCACCCCCGCCCGCTGAAGTCCGTCACCCGCTCGCAGGTCGCTCACTCGGCCTCCCTCATGGGTCTCACCTGGTGGGCTTGACCGCGCCGAGGGCGACGTGTGAAGAAGCGGAGGCGGGGGTCAACCCCAACGACCGTCACGTTT